GAATCATTTTTCTTCTGGAACGTTTTTATCACTTTCTTCTGAACATCCCTGAGTATACCACAATCCTTACTTTTTCAGCAACAGATCTTTATATTTGACATGCTTTTGAAATGGCTATGAAATTGTACTATCACTTGTCGCCTAATAAATCTATTTTGAACTCATCGTTAAGGTAATTACCACTTCTAAAGATTTTATTACATGTCAATGGAACGCAACCAGTTGTAATTGACGACTTGGTAATAGACATATACCGCGTGAACCAAAGAAATCAGAACAAGGTCTATTATTTATATTTATCATTAATCATTCATTGAATTGTATCTATTATAACCTTTTTTAATTAAATTATTTCCATTTCAAAAGATTCGTAGACTTCACAAACTTTGACGGCCGGATATAACTGGACGAAGTAGTATATGCTAAAATGACTTAGAGAACACTGCGTCTGTTACCTCATCGCCGTTAATAATGTACACCGCAGTGGTGAACGAAACGGCAGGCTCAAAAACTTGCAGACCACCGCCAATAAACCCGGAAAATAGCTTAGACACACTTGACTAACTGTTCAATAGCAAAATCACTGTTCAAAGGGTACGTCGATAAATTTCACTATATCATCAAGAACACCACATTGGATATGATGTCAGTACAACCTGCCTAGGAACCTATGCGACTGTATTTCAAGCGGAAATCTACTCTATTGAATTGTGTGCGGAGAGACTGGAAGAATCCAATCTTATACACATGTCAATAAAAATATTCTCGGACAGTCAAGCAGCGTTGAAAGCTCTTGGATCCTACCGAGCAACGTCTAAATTGGTAGCAAATTGCCAAAAACGACTCTCCTCGATAGGAAGACTTAACAGATTGTCTCTGGTCTGGATTCCTGGCCATACTGGCCTGGCAGGCAATGCGGCTGCTGACTTCTTTGCAAAGGAGATGCAAGCAGCTTCATCGGACCAGAACCTGTCATTGGCATCGCTTTAGGGTTTGCCAAACAAACTTTGAACACCTGGATGGCAAGAAGATTTATGGACTTCTGGCAGAATCTTCCAGGATTAGCTCACTCCAAGGCGTTTATTCACCCTTCGAAGCCTGACACCAAACAGTTGTTGAACTACAGTAGGAATGAACTACGATGTCTAACAGACCTTCTTACACGTCACTGTCATTTGAATCATCATATGCAGAGACTTGGACTGTGGGAAGGCAGTGTGTGTCGCCTCTGTTTGGAAAATGATGAAACAGCAGAGCACATACTTAGTGCCTGCCCCGCTGTTGACCGAATCAGGTTTTTAGAGTTCGGCAGAGCCGTACTATTACCATCTGACCTGAAAGACCATTCACCATACAAACTAATCGGCTTCGTTAAAAAGCCGGGTTTATTTGGTCAAGTGTTAATATGTTTGAGCCGCAGTAAACCCTTGCGGGTTGCGGTGGAGAATTGAATAGACCCACTGACGTTGGACCTTATCTAACCTAACTTAGTACATGTTGTGAAAAACTAGTTACAAGTTTCACGATGATGCGGCTTGAGTAAGTCTGGCCGTACACGAACCACATATTTGACGAAAAAAAAAATTAATTACTTCAGGATGTCCATTAGTTCTTTTGATGAATTTATTAGAATTTGGAATCAAAAATTGAATGCTGTGAGACCAATATGAGAAAAAGTACACGACAGTGTACGCGGTTGAGTACGACTGCATGTTTGTGGTTCGTGTACGGCGGATGCCGCGATGACATCTCGGCGGAGATCAGCAGCAAGTTGACAGCAGACGCCCGTTTTGACCTTTGTCAACGTCCGTGTTCGCGTAGTACAGTATATCTTATGGGCGGCTTGAGTTCGCTGAAAAGCGACTGCAATTGTGTGGTCGATCCGACCTCAAAATGTGGCTCGTGTACAGGCGCTCTAAGGCCTTTGATTGTGCGAAGCATCAAAAATTGATGAAGATATTGGGGAGTTACGGCATGAGAGGTATACCATTAAACTAGATTTCATCCTTTTTACCAAAGAAGAAACACATTTTAACAAAATAGCCAAATTAAAGCCATACGCTCGGATAGTGAGTAAATCGAATTGGGCGTTCCACAGGGATCACTCTTTGGTCCAGCTCTATTCATTTTTTTATGAAAACCATCTTGATGCGAACATTTTAATAAAAAATAAATACAATATAATTTCTGCGCCTCGCTGTTAATCAAATGAACTGAATTTTTAACGGTTGACTAGTTCAGTTTGTTTCATGTAGTTTTCTGTTGGTGTTGTCTCGAAACTTCGGTTGTTACAATTTTTTTCTTATATGTATCTAATATGTCTGATGGTTTTTAAAATAGTAATATTATCAACACGAAGTAACTACTTCTCGAGCCCTGAAGAAGAATTTAATTAAAATCGAAACGTGGGCAAGAAAAAATTTATCCAATTCAACCTTTCTTCAGAATAATTTTTAACATCGGTGGTAAAGGTGGATCACCTTTTCATATTATGTTGTTTCTGCACAATGAAAAAATCAGGTATATATAGAGTAGAGTGTGGCGAGTGCTCTGCGGTATATACAGGCCAAACCGGTAGACATTTTGACATAAGGCTGCGTGAACACCTCTGTTTGGACAAAAAATTTACCATTCCAACAATCTTCTTCTCGTACTAGTTTCGTACGTTTGCAGTCCAGAGCAGTTTTTGAAGTATATTCTATCAATATTACTGGAGTTTTTTCCCAACACCAAACCGTTATTTTAACACCACGACACGTGTTTTGATCACAAGTAATCGAAACACTCCTTAACGGTTATACATTTTATTGTTAACAGATCCTGTTTCCATAAATTTGTTCAATAATTCCGAAACGTATCTGTGTCATACATTTATTCCTGGACGATTTTCATTGAACATACGGGCAGCAGTTCTAGCAGAATTTTCATTCTGGTAGTACAAACTCACTATTTCAATTCGTTCTCGAAATGTATAAACCATTGCTTCTCATGAATTCTCAAGAATAGAAACACCAATTGTAACTTCACCTGGTAGGTAATCGTTATTGTAGAATAAGATATACGCTGTGTCCAAGATAAGAGTGAACAGCATGGGCGTATTTATGCGTATTAATGAGCATAACAATATGCCATTTCTCGCGCAAAATGAAAAGTGATTACTTAACCTGCTTGTCTTCAATTTTAGATAGTAAGCACTGAAAAAAATGTTATAATCTGATATATGAAGTAAATTGATTAGTTTGTTTGAAGGTGGTTGACAATGTTTAGTGGTGTATTTCAAAAGTTCGGACTTCCATTGTCTAATATAATATAAATTGATTTGATAACCCTGAAAAAAAAAACTGAAATTACAAAGAAATAACATACAACAACAACCAAACAAATGAAATTGAAATATTAATAAAGGCTGAAAAAAGTGAAAAATATTTAAAATATTATTAACAAAAAATGAAAAAANAGATCCCCTCGTGATGTAATACAAAGGCCAAGGCGTAAGCACATTTACGGTGTCAGGCCCAGAAGGAGAAAGAAAGCGGAGAAAGCAGAAGTGGCAGAAACTATAAGTGCACCCTCCTCCTCCCCTACTCCACCTCTAACAGCAAGGGCACTTCCTGCAGCGGGCGCCAAGAGCTCCGGCTTGAATAAAGGCAAAGAACCAGCAGGAAAGCTTCCTCACTTGTGCACCTTCTCGGAGGGAACCCCAAGAAGGTTGAAGAAGCCGCGCTACGACAGTAATGTCGCTGCACCTTCCAAAACCTTCGCAGAGGCCACCGTGAGACATCTCAAGGTTGCCAAAGACAGTGTGAGTTCGGCGAGTCTTGGCCTACACATGCCAATATAAAGGAGATGTCTCCTAGTGACCTGTCCACTTTCCTGGAAAGGACAGGATGGACGATGACCTAGGAGGACAACTCCTCGGGAGGATGTACGATGACCTAGGAGGACAACTCCTCGAGAGGATGTACAATGGGTCACATGTGGCCTAAGTGCTCTGGGTCTACACTCACCCTCCCTACTCTACAGATAAAGATAGGTAAATTGTCAATAACGTTCATCGTCCCTTTTTACCTACTGTCATGCTGTTTTCTATCCTTGAACTTTTTAGAATGGGATTCCATATTTGGTTGAGGTTCACCGCTTCTTCTTTTCTCTTGAAATCATCCGTATGTTTGTGGATCTCTATTGCCTCCCGTACCAGTCGGCTATGGTATCCCTGGTTGGGGGCAATGAGTTCCGTGTTTTCAAACATAATCCTGTGGTTTCTTTCACTGAGTGCGTATTTCGCACTCTGCAGTCTGCAGTTTCTTTGATGCTCCTTCAAGCTTTTCCCCATGGATCTATTGGTGATTCCCACAAGTGCATGGTATGCGATATACCCCTGCTGCTGATGATGGGTCTCTTTGTCTGAGACTTTGTTGTATCTTCTTGGTTGGTTTGAGAACCGTTTTAATGTTGTGTTTCCCCAGGAGTTTTCCAATTCCGTCTGTGACCCTAGGGATATATGCACGTTCATATATCCCCGTTTTGAACCATGAAACTCTTTAGTTTCAGAAGTTTGATGCAATTTACCTAATCCAGGTTCAGGTATTAGCACACCAAACTACCTACGTCAACATAAATACGCTTTACGCAATCGTAGTATCCAGTCATCGGAGATAACTCAGAAAGCATAAACCTATGAAGAAACTAGCCACTAGAGCCAGCGAAATGTCAGGAAAAAATCCAAAAACCGACGGTCTTCTAACCCTAAAAATAATGACACGACCGCGAAAGCCTGGATCATTTCGACATTAATCTTGTTGTTTCTGCCTCCAGCAAAACTCAACATCATTTTTTATCAAGTCAGATAAAAATCTTATTTGATTTAGATTAGATGATTCAGTGGGTTACTTGACCACTGTTCAAGTCCTCCATTAGACGTGTTTTTTTCTACTTAAATTACCCCACATTTCAAGCAACAAAATGAGATTGTTCTGTTCAATTTTTCATTGATGTTCCAGAATACCAGCAGCAGGATTAAGAGCATCCCTCAGCTTCCTTGGATTGAAATACACTGTAGAAGGTCATGAGAACATCGTAAAAAATAGTGGGAGTGTTATACTTATCAACCACCAGAGCTTTCTGGATCTCATAAGTAAGAATTTGCTGTTTTACTTGTCGTTGATGAACATACATTTGAGCTGGTTTATGAATGGGAACTAAGATGTTTTTTACGTAAGGTTTGCCAAGTTGTTCTCTGTATCAGACATTTCTAATGTTTCAATGCTATTTCAACCATGATTTTGCTGCGAAGAGGCAAAATCTCAAACTGATAAACAAAAAGATTTCCATTCAAGGAATTTGTATTTTTTACTAATCAATCTATAATGAAAAGTACTTCTTTTCTGGCTAATATCACGATTGACATTGAATTATATACGACAGCCAGTTGTGCAAGTTTCCGTGATCACAGAGGAAAGTCTTGCAGATGCTTCTTGTTTTTACAGCAGTATGACTTCCTGAATTCAATTGGATGATAACCTATAGACCGGTTTCGTGATATCATTCCTCATCAGTGCAGGATAGATCCCGCCAATACACTAGTGTGTTCAGGACTCGACTGAATTCATCGACATATTCGAAATCTTCGTCTGGTAATAGTTTCCCCAAGCGCCCCAAGCGAAGAAAGAGTATCATGTGGACTAATACTCAAACAGAGATTACTCTCAAGTCACATGACAATGTGTCACATGACAATGACGTCAGTTCCTCACAAACATTGCTGTTGGAAGTTGCACTATTTCGTTAATATTATTTTATAGTTGTAGAATAATATCGGCTCCTTTTATATCACTTTCTAGTTTACTTTTTGGACCGAAAAAAATTACTTTAGATTTGGGAGAGTTTAACTTAAGATTATGCGAGGAAGACATGTCAAATATCTTCTTTAAATTATCATTAATTGTATACATTTTCTGCAACATGAATTCAGTTGGTAAACTGATATATAAGTGAGTGTCATCTTCTTACTGATGCAAGGTACAGATCCCTAAAATCAGTTACGTATACTAAAAAGAGGAGTGAACTAAGTATCGAGCCTTGGGGTATTCCGTAGCGTCTCAGTAGATGACCACAAGTACTATTATTTAGATGAAGATATTGTGAACAATCTTTCAGGTAAATCTCAACTTATGATAATGATATTGATAATGATATAGGTATTATCAAAATCAAGATATTCCAATTTTTACATAGAATAGCAGATTCTAGAGTGTGGAAAGCTTTACTATAATAAAGTTTCAGTAAATATGAGATTCCAATTGAAATGAAAAGAATAAAAATAAGTGCCAGCCGACAAATGTTTCAACATCAAAATTCCAATCTTCATCTTTGAAAAATTGATAAATAGTGACGCCTACTATTGAAAAATAGAGGAATACATTTTAGGCTGTAAAGACAGCTAAGAGATATCTGCAGGCTAGCTGAATCCATACTTTGAAAATATGAAAAATTTAGGTACTTTAATTGAAGTACTTGCATACTTGCTACTTTAATTGAAGTACTTTAATTGAAGTACTTGCACTTGTTAACACTTAAAAGTATTTTGTTAGAAAATCACGAAAAAAATTGATACAGCTTTATTAGTTTACCAGTGTTTGGGAACATGTTACGTTACAAAGGTCATTGGATAAGTGGCATTTTGGAGTAAAATTTGAAATGAAATTTGAAGACCGTGGTTTTGAAAGTATTAGTTGTATTGAAAAATTATTTCAAATGTTTTGGTCGAGATTTGGTACCTTAGAAGCTACGCATGCGTGTTTTCGAACACTTTCCCAAAAATAATCGAAATCTCTCTAATTTAACATGTTGTATACATTCTCGAAAAAACACCCCATTGCAAAAAATAGATAATTATATCAAAGTGAAAGTGATAACTGATAGTTGATCAATGACGAGGAGTTATTCCTGAACGAATAGTAACTTCCTATCCCTAACTCTACGAGTGTTGTAATCACAGAAGGTTCTTACCTGACTTTCAATTCAACAGAAGTACCCGGAATCTGTATGAATTATGGTGATTTTGAACCTGAACCTGGGATCTAATCCATCCAAAGTTGAACCAATAACTTTTTAAGTGAGAGATACGAGAAGGAAAGTTACTCCAATGAAAACTATAAAATTTCTCTGATTGTTTTTCAGATACTTGGGATGAACTCAGCTTGAAAATTTTATTCATCATTGACAACTGAATTTTCAACTCATTCTTGAGAAAATACAGATGCCTACAATTATATTCTTTATATAATATCCGGAAAACATCAATGGAACGATTTTACTTTCAGTTCTGGCATATATTTGGCCCATCATGCCAAACTGCACTGTGATCTCTAAAAAAGAAATATTTTACCTGCAACCGTTCGGTCTGGCGAGTTGGTTATGGGGAACTATTTTCATCGACAGAGTGAAACCCAAAGATGCACAAAAGGCTATCAATAAAACGGGAGAAACCATCAAAACCAGAAAGGTAAGAAGGTTATTGTATCATCAGCAAGGTATGGAAATTATCTTCAATGTTTTAATATTAACACTTGTTCACAAAAACGATTCAATGCTTTAATAACTTCTAATTATTATATGCGAGCACTTTCGATGGCAGACTGTGCTAAGTATCATCTTCATAGCTCTACTTCTTTATTTAGTTGAATAACTAATTCATTTACAATAGTAAATACATTGTCGCATTATAAATAAAATTAAATTGACATGAAAAAATACCAACGGTTTGATTGAAAATATACAGGGTGTAACTGAATAAGTGTGAAACGTTTGAGGAGGTGATTTCTCATCGAAAAAAGATAGGATCTTTCATATAAAGAAATTTCATTGGAGCATTCCTTGTTAAGATACAGTCCCTTAAAGAGAGTACATAAAATTTGTATAACAATTTTCTTCAAAAGCACTGAAAAAGTGACAATATTGAAATTAACCTGACGTTTTGTACTACCAAAAAGACATTTAGCTAGTAATGTATTTGGTAAGGGGTGGAAAACGCAACCCCTAAAATTTATTTCCAATGTAACTTTTTGTCTTATTATTTGTTTACCATTTAAAAATATATTTCCGATAGCCTGTTTCATTCTAAACAAAAAATATCTCTTGGGTTTTTTGCCCAAAATGAATCAGTTCGTAGCAAAAAATTATTTTAATAACAAGTAAATTATTGAAGTAACAAATGAAGAACAGAACAATAACACACAATTAGTATTAATTCAATTTCGAAAATTGACAAACTGACAGCGTCATACCAATTTAATTGTCACTATCGCTAATAGCGACCTACTAGATAGATTAGTTTCGTATTTTCGCATTTATGACGATATATCTCTGTACTTGTTCCTAAAATAATTTTTTGCTGCGAACTGGTTTGTTTTGGGCAAAAAACCCAGGAGACATTTTTGTTTAGAATGAAACAGGCTATCGGAACTAAATTTTTAAAGTAAACAAATAATAAGACGAAAAGTTACATTGGAAATAAATTTTAGGAGTTGCGTTTTCCACCCCTTACAACCATGGGGTAAACCAAATAAATTAATGGCTAAGTGTTTTTTGCTAGTACAAAACGTCAGACTTATTTCAATATTGTAACTTTTTTAGTGCTTGTGAGAAAATTGTTATAAAAATTTTATGCACCCCCTTTAAGGGGCTGTATCTTAGCAAGGGATGCTCCAATGAAGTTTCTTTATATGAAAGATCCTATCTTTTTTCGATGAAGAATCACCTCCTTAAATGTTTTACACTTATTTAGTTACACCCTGTATATGTATACATAAATATTTATGCCTTTTTTTATATATAGTATATTTTGGTTTTGAAAAATGTTGTGCTATTGATTCCATATTTGGAAAAAGTTATGCTGATACACACCAGCCGATAGAAGCAACTGGAATTATTTTGGATGAGATCTGGTGAATTTTTTAGGGATATTTCTTCAATTGGCTACCTACTTGTATTGGCACTATATTTTGCTGAATGCCAATAAAACCCTTTTACTCACTAGTAGATATCAGCCAAACAAAAACATAATAGGTATATTTTCAATTTCTTTCAATTCCTTCAAATATAATATTTTGTCAAATAGCTTAGTAATTAGTTGACGTCACAAGTCTATTATTTCAATTTAGTTTTAAACGTTGGCTTGTTATCGAAAGAAACTTATCAACTAATGAATGGAGATTGCTTTCCGGTATTGTTTTAATGAAAAAATGAGGGAAATTATCAACTTAGTTATGCTTCATTTTTATGCATGTACTGAGAAAAGATTTGTTTTTATTTGTTACAAAGTCATCACAATTTTACTTGAATTGAAATGTTCTACACAAATCTTGAGATCACTTCGTGCTACTTTCAATCCATTGTTGAATCAAGTTTTTCATAAGAAAAATGTTGATTATTGAACTGAAAGATGTCAAAGAAGTTAAAATAAGGTATGAAGGTGATTGGTGGATAACTGCTTGTGATTCTATACTTAAAACGGACAAAACATTTGTAACAACCTAACACACAACTTCGGTTGGATTCGATATTCAATAACTCAAAACAAGAAGCTCTAGAAGCATAATAACAATCCAACACATTAGAAAAATATCAATATTGATTGACTTACTCTGACCAGTTTCACTTGAAAAGTGCACGTCGACTCCATTGACATTGTTTATATCACTTACAGTTGGGCCAAGCAAAGGTTTCACGTGCGTCATCAATAAAATGGGCAATAAAATATATACTTTCATTTAGCATGCTTTTCTTTTAAAAGTGAAAAACGAAGACAAAACAGTCATCAACCAATTGATGAAGTATTACATTGGTTTGGAATTTCAAAATTTTGATTGCAAAGTTTCTATGATTTCAAGTCTTTCATACTACCAAAATATGTTTTCATATTGCTGACGAATTTTATGACACGAAATCGTAAAATTGTGTTACCTTTTATCAAATTTGAAAAAAGAAAGCATTCAAAAGAATAGTTGTTGGAATTTAGGAATGTGAGTGGAAAGGCTTACTTTTGGCCCTTTTCAAAATTTTGAAAAAACCGGTCTTCTGAAAGTACCTTCATGAACTGAGATGGATTTGATCAAACATTTAACAAACTAATAATTTTAAGAAAAAATCATTCTGAATAATATTTACATTTTTTAGGCTCGAGTATTGATGTTTCCTGAAGGAACTAGAAACAGCGGCAAGACACTTTTACCATTCAAAAAAGGTGCTTTTCATTTAGCTGTAGCTTCCCAGTGCCCCATACAGCCTGTTGCTGTTTCAAGATATACATTTTTGGGAAAAAATCGTTTCGACGACGGTAGGTTTATATAGATAAAATACTAGAAAAACATTATTTTGGAAGGTTCAATATTTCTTGCCGTTTTTTGGGTATATAACCTTCCATAATCAGAGAAATAAACAAAGCTAAATCAATGAGAATATAATAAAAAGAGATGTAATAAAGGTCAAGCTGAAACGTTATTCCCGAAAAGTTAGTGTGTAACATAAATCAATTAATGAAATAAACGGTTGAAAAAATAAAATTTCAATACTCAGATTATAGAGTTATATAGGTGAAACTTCAAAACCTCCTGAAATAAGAAAATACGAACATCGTGAATATATAAAGAGAAGACAGATAACGAGATCGGGGATAGCGTATCATATTTCGAAATCAACTGGTCATCACGCAATAAAATGAAGTGAAACAAAGATTGTTGCCAAAAAAACCTTGGAAAAAATAGCTTTGTTCACTTTCCAGATCGGTTAGATACCCAAAAATCAGTAAGAAATATAAAATATCGAATGTTTCAAGAAGGCCTTCAACGTTATTTCGAATTGAAAATCTCTTTTCTACAAAGTAGACAAGTACCACGACAAGGATTGGATTATATCTAACACGTATTTGTTCAAGTTATATTATAGATGCTTGTTGTCTGCCCAGCAACATCTGGATCTCCTCTATAGTGAGTCCCTTTGGGAGAAGGAAATATTAAGAGCAGATAGTTGTTGGTTCACAGATGGACCAAAAACACCTCCCAGTTCCGGTGCAGGTGTTTTCAGTCGCATACCTAGAACAGAGATATCAACCTGCCTAGGAACCTATGCGGCTGTATCTCAACCGGAACTTTACGCTATTGAATTGTGTGCGGATAGATTGGAAAAATCCAACCTCATACACAAGTCAATAAAATATTCTCGGACAGTCATGCGGCGTTGAAAGCTCTTGGTCCCTGTCGAGCAAATTGCCAAAAACGACTCTCCTCGATAGGATGGCAAGAAGAATTATGGATTTCTGGCAGAATCTTCCAGGACTGGCTCCTTCCAAAGCGTTTATTCACCCTACGAAGCGTGATACCAAACAGTCGTTGGACAACACTAGGGATTAACTACGATGTCTCACAGGCCTTCTTACAGGTCATTGTCATTTGAATCATCATATGCAGAGACTCGGACTGTCGGAAGTCATTGTATGTCGCTTCTGTTTGGAAAATGATACTTTGTCCACATCCACATTCAATCTCGAAAACATCGGGAAGTCGTGTGTGTAGAGTAAATAAGATGTGGTGATGAGCAGAGAAACCTGCTTTGATTGGAAAATAAGTAGATGTGGATTGGTTCACCCTCACACGAATAAATAATTCAAGAATCTTAATTCCTTATGGAGAAATGCCGATTGCCACATTTTCGTGTAAATCCAAAGTATGTCAAAGCCTCTATGAATGGCCGTATTCTTTCCCAGCTGAAAAAGGTTTTTCCACAACCTGGACCATCCTCTTCTCCAGGCAAATGACCCTTCTCAGATGTATTTCGTCAGTTCGGACTTCCATTGTCTAATATAATATAAATTGATTTGAAATCCCTAAAATAAATATTAAAAGAGTAACCAAAATTAACAATTATATTTAGAAACATTTGCTCCGGAATAACCGGCTTTGCACGACTTCTCGTAATATCTTGGTGTTCGGCTGTTTCATCGGGTCGTCTACAGTTGACTAGTAAAGTAATTTCCAAATATTCTCGCCACTGCGTATTCTTGGCCCTTTTTTGTGGTTGGAATTGATTCCAACGGGTTGTTTAACCGGGGTCATCCTCCATGTAGAATTGATATGGACACTGAGGCACTGAGATTTTCGACTGCACCGTCGATGAGTGGATCATTGTAAACGACCTCTTACTTCTTTCACACCCATTTACTGCACTACAAACTTCATTCTCATGAAAGTTAAGGCAATTTTGTATACATTTGCGTATCATTCGTTTTTCATTACATAACCTCATTTTTTCTAGGTCACGTGACGATGAGAATTCTTCCACCTATTTCTACAGAAGGTTACAAAAATGAAGACATTCCCAAATTGATGGAGGAATCCTACAAAATCATGTCGGAAAACGTTGATCAAATTTCAGCATCAGATCTTCAGAATGGCACAAGTGAAAAAGTCAAATAATTATATGTTATTTACATTCATTTTGCAACAAATGGGTGAAATGATTGTGTAGATTTTATTTTGTGGGCTAGACTGTGTTGCAGAGAAATGTATCAATGTGGGTAGTATATTTGAATTCATTATTTGAGTTTATTAACATAATTTTTACATTTCTCGTGTGATTTGGTGAGAAGACTTAGAACGAATATTTGCATTCGTTAAACTATTCATAAAATAATTATGTTAAATATTTGATATTTATTATATTTTGTTATACAAATTTACGTAATTCAATTACAATACCCTGACAACCCGAGAAATCTTCATTTCAATCTAGGTACTTGGGAGTTGGAAATCATGTTCAAAATATCTTCGGTTTTCTGAATCTAGTAGATCCAGTCGACTTTGTCGGGCTTGCAGGGGACTTTTCACAAGGGTACTACGCCATATACATCTTTAAAGTTGGAGTTGCAAACTCTCAAGGTAAAAGAACTCCGCACAAAACAAATGGGAAAGGTATTTGAGATATAAGGTCCATAAGATTGGAAAATCTGAACGCCATGCATTAATATTGGATAAGCACACATATATACTCTCTTCCTTTATGTTTTAACTTTTGAAGATGAGACCATAAGATTCAGGGCAACCAGAGGCTGCCATTAATGTCGAAAACTATATCTTCTTCTGTGGTTTCCTTGATATCTTTGACGAAAGAAAAGGAGATCTGCAAGCTTATGCAGATGTCTTGGTCTTCCAGGTATGGATCACAAGCACATTTAGGATGGGTAGCCTGTAATATCCTCCAAAAAAGCTGGACGATGATCACAGTGACAGATAAAGTCGATGTCGGTAAACCCCAGCAAAATTGTAGTAATCCGCTTCACCAAGATTCTGAATGGTACAACTCCACTTTCCTTTTTTGTGAGGTTATCTTCGATAAAAAATACACCTGGGACGCTCATTTGGAGATGGTTTCATACAAGGCCAATCTATCCCCTTATATATGTGCAAGACTTCGTGGAAACAAGGGAGAGATCTGCGAGCAATTACATCAGATAGGAACCTGTGATTGGCACCGCTTTATGCTTTGCCATTCAAACAATGAACACCTAGACTACAAGAAGAGTTTCAGCAAAATCTTCCAGGTAGCATATGCATTGACTTTAAGAAAGAGATGTAGATCTGCATGAATTTCCTGACATGGAATGATTAGGACATTGAGGTAAATAGCCTGTAATATCTCCAAAGAACTAACGATATATACAGTTGGTTCCAGAGAAAGTAAGCAGTTGTCTGTAACCCCAGCAAAACTGTGATGGTCCTCTCCACCAGGAATCTTTATGATTTCACTCTACTTTCCCTCGACGGTGACGTTATTACAGTGGAGGTGAAATATCTAGGTATCATCATTGATGAAAAAATCACCGGGATTTCTCACTCGGAGAAGGTTTTACACAAAGCCAGACTGTTCCTATGTATATGACGAAAGATTATCAACAAATTTTGGGCCTCATGCACGAAATAAATCCTTTCGATATATGTGACGATTGTTAGACCAATGGTCATATATGGAGCAACTACAAGAGCAGATAGCTGATCCTCAATGTAAAGACTCAAGAAATTTTTTCAGGACTGGATTCCGGGCCACACTGGTTCTGTCTCACCTGAACGTGTCATTGATACCGATTTGAGCTTCCTTATTCAAACAGAAGCTATCCACCATATTTTTCAATGGCGTGAGGTATTCAGTGATGCATTGAAAGTTACTTACCTGTCGTTGTTGACCAGTTCTTAGTCCCAGATATGTATGTATATAATAGGGATGGTGAGTATATACCCACAGCACTTAGGCCACATGTGACCCATTGTACATCCTCCCGAGGAGTTGTCCTCCTAGGTCATCGTCTATCCTGTCCTTTCCAGGAAGGTGTATAGGTCACTACGAAACATATCCTTTATATCGGCAGGTGTAGGCCAAGACTCGCCGAACACACTCTCTTTGGCCACCTTGAGGTATCTCACGGCAGCCTCCGCGAAGGTTTTGGAAGGTGCAGCGACACTACTGTCGTTGCGCGGCTTCTTCAACCTTCCTGGGGTTCCCCTATAGGGAGGTGTTCAAGTGAGGGCGCTTTCCTGCAGGGGCAGCCGGTTTCTTGCCTTTATTCAAGGCGAAGATCTTGGCGCCCATCCACGATGGCATGTTTCGCAGAAGCTTTTGGGAAGTGTTAGTTCCCCTCACCCTACTTATTTCTGCCACTGACCAGGAGTCCGGCAATCCCGTCCGTAAGGCCACATATTGGCTTCCCGGACAGTAGCCCAACCCACGGGTCAGTCGCAGATATTCTAGATGTTTAAGCTTGATAAAAGCGGGTGATCTAGCTGGCCACTCCACTGAATCTTGCCTGACAATACAACGCGTGGAAAATCAGTGCCAGGCGACTGCAAATTTCATGTTCCATTGTTAAAACAATCAATGAGAATTGCACTCGGTATATTTTTTTCAGGACGAGGTCTTCAAGATCGTGTAGCTTCAGTGCTTGAGAGGACGATGGGGAATAACGAGAAAATACAAATATTGGAATAATTAATTTCATTGTCTTTGTCGAGTACTTAGTGATGACGTAATTGAAATATCAGATAAAATGTAGGAATGAATAGAAAATTTTAGCACACGATTTTTATGTCGTCGGATTAGAATCTGATAATAGATTTGCAAACGCTGGAAAAATTCAATTTTCAAGCTTTATGTTGCTGTGATTTGACCTTGTCACTTTGTTCTATTTTGTCAAAGAGACTGCTTCTAATAATAATAGTAATAAATCCTTGGTTCACCAAGTCTGGTCAAGGTACAAGATTCTCGGTCCTAACGAATCGGAATGTTTTGGACCATCGGGTACAGGGTCTAACCAACAACCCCTTTTGAGGCAAAATAATAATAGCGTTTACTGTCCAACAATTTTTCATTCAAAGAACAAACTACAGGAATAATTGAAAATTTCTGTTTTTTGATTGAGTTTTTTTCTAAATAAGTTGACTATTCACACCTAGTACCTTTTTTAACGTAGGTACATTCTAGTCACTGAACATCAAAATACTGAATAGATTTTAAACTGTCAGTTTCTTGAGTAATACCGTGTTTCAGGAATAAAAAATGTTTTTGGGAAGTTATGTGGTTTTATTTTTCCTAATATAACATTCATGTTGAATGTTGCTGATTGCCTAGATTGACGTCAATTCAAATTTAGTCAAACTACAAATTTCAATATTTGCTTGAAATAGTTCTTGGTAAAGTGAGTTAGAGCCATCAGCTACATCACCTGATCTCTTACCATTGCATTTCTTTTAGGATGTCCGAAGTAGAACCATAGAATTTTTTCACTGTCACTCGTGAAAATCCATAATAACTGCAACAGAGAATTGCTACGAAATGCCGATTTCTTTCCCGGAACAACTCAATGTCAGGAATTATTATATAGTAGATGATTCAGTAATTTTGTTCGTGTTGTTGTTTGTTATCAAACTAACTTCTCGCAAGTGGGTACGAATTTCATAATATTCACGTATTTTTTAACACACTTTTCCATTTCTGTGTTACAGGGTGAGTCAAGTTTTTGTTGGAATAACCTGTAATTAGGCTTCAATAGGTATAAAAGTTTGTAGTCAGATTGCAGCCTTTCACATATTGAAAAAAGTTTTGGTGAAATATAAAACTGTCAGTTATAAATATTGTAGGAAGAGCAGAAGGGCCACATATTTTCACGATTTTTTTTTGGAAATTACAATTTTAATACTCGAAGTTTCGACTTTAATGTCAAATATCCGACTAGCAACTCTAAACTACGACTTCAAACTCGAAATTACGACTTTAATCTCAAAATTTCGAGTTTTAAATCGATTTTAAATTGGAAATTATGACATTATTCTCGGAATTTCCAGTTTACAGTCGAAATTTTTACATCAAAATCGAAATTTTCGAGTTTGAAGGCGAAATAACGAGATCTTAAGTCGTAATTTCGACTAAGGTCGATGACATCTGTCGTTTCAAAGACGCCCTCTATGGGATCGACAGACAACTTGATCCTCGAATATTAAAGATAAACGAGGCGGTCAGTTGCAAAGCTTCGACATCGATCGCCGCCTACTCGCCCTACTGGCCCTACTCGCTTTTATGATGAATACAGTGTTCGTGTAAGTTTTTCTTCATTGATCTGTTTGTGAAGTGTTTTGAATTTTTTTTAAAATCTAACTTAGTTTTACTGTATTCCATTCATAGTAATAAAACTTTCATAAATTAGGTGTACCTATTATGTCAAACTGTAGACTAGGAGTACCTACTCGTCCTACTATGAAATGTGTTAGGTATTTGGTGGGAAGGCCTCATCACCGACATCTATCTACGTACTAATAAACAAACCGTCAACGCACAAATGACAACACGCGTTTTTGTTGATCTAATAATAATATGAAGATAGATGTTCATTTAAGTTCGTTTATAGTTGATATTTTTTGTGCTAGTTATAATCGGTGAAGGAGCAAAAGGTAAATGTTTTTTTTAATAATTATTTTGGTTTGAATCAATATTTATCTCCAACTCAGTACTCTTTTTCAACCTAAATTTAATTTATTCTCTGTTCACTTTCACATAGAATATTATTAACATCGTGACTCAAGAAATTTACTTTACTATCTAGTTCCAGTGTTGCCACTGCTGTTGCAAGTAAACACCTTGTAACATATAAATAAACTTATTACAGTAATGAAAATATGAAAAAGAACTTATAGTATATTGGTTCGGGAAACTTCTATTCATTGATTATATTCCAACAGAAAGAAAAAAGTAGTTGCAGAAATTACAGCTTAGAGAAATCATAGTTTAGGCCAGACAATAAAACATGATTTGGTAAAAATTTCGTCACCGAATAAAGTTGTCATCGATGTCTATTATCGTACATTATAAGTCATGAAAAATACGAAAATGTAATGTTTTCTAGAAGAATAGCTGTAACAGCTGATCCATGATGTTCATCATAGTATCTCTAATGATTTAGAAGTTTGTTTCTCAACAAATCCAGCGGTCACTATCTGTTAAATCTATCTGTTTTTCCGTTAACCATTTGTCGCCTCCCTTACGAACGACAAACCTCAGAAGTGATTTTTTTTTACGAGCTAAGGATTGACGAGGTCGCGCCTTTTAAAGTACGATTCCTGGCAATATCCCTTTTGTACAATATTTAACAGTGTTATGGAATCTTCATCATTCTCGAAGTATTCTCTA